AAAAGAAAAATAATAAAAGAGATATAAATAACAAATGAAAACTATTTACAAACAAACTAAAAAAAGAAAAAGAACTATTTTAATAATTAAAAAAGATGATTTGGTTATTAATTACTTTCATTAAATTTTCAATTGCTTTTAATTGTTCTTCTGTTGATAAATTGACAATTCCAAGTACTACTACTTTGAATACCTCACATATCCTTTTTTTTAAAAGTTCTTCTGAACAAACCCTGTCACTTCTTGTTTGTACTCTTAGTGATACTCAAGTTCATGTTACTATCGATAATACTTGTAATGAAAATGGATTATCTAATGAATTACAAACAATTGATACTAAAACACGATGTGATGACAGTCCATTGATTCAGATTTTTGCATCTAAAGATGAAACATTTTATTTTAATATCACAGTAACAAATGAAAGTGATTACCAAATATCAATTTCTGTTTCTAATTCAAATAATGATAATCAATCAATTAAGGATTATGTAACTTATATTATTATGGGAATCCTTCTTTGTGTCCTTATTATTACTAGTTTATTTGTAGCTTTTTTAGCTGATTGTAGACATAAAAAGGAAGTATCAGAACAACATAAATCTCAAGTCGTTATGTTTTAACCAAATAGTTTTTATTTTTATTAATTTTTCCTTTTTATTATAAATTATTTGTTTTAATTTTCTCATTTGAGTTAAAACCCATAATTTTCATTTATTTTTTTTATTTGTATAATTATTCTTTATTATAATCTTTAAGTATACTTCAGTTTTTAGCCGTGCAATTGGTTTAAATTGTGAGGTTGCGTTATAAGAAGTTATAAAATAGGACAAGGGCAGTATAAGTGCTTAGGTACTTGTGTAATACTTGTCACTAATATTTTTATTTGTCATTTCTTATTCTTACTTTTCTTTCTCATCTATCATAGCCTTTTTCTTTATAGTACTTTTTCAAGACTTTTTATTGCACTAAATAATAACAGGTAACTTGTAAAGTAATAACAGAGTTATTCTTTGTTGAACATTGAATTATTATTGTTGATTTGACATTTCATAGAGTCTGTTGAGTATATTTGAGTTGGAGAGAAATATTGTTGTATGATATACATCAGATTCTTAATTATGATGTATTCAAAGTTGTTGATGATATTTAATTTAATCATTTTTTTATTTTTATAATAAATTAATATTTTCAGTATTTATAACTCAATGACTGAAGTTAGTGTTGTAGTTTATTTTCTTATCCTTCTTTTATTCAAATAAACTCTATTGTATTTATTTGGATATTCGACATCACTAACTTCATATATTGTTTGTTACTTCTTGATTATTTCAGTTCAATCTTCTTAGTCTTTATTTTTTGAAATTCAAAATTGTAGATTCAGCAAAGAATTATTCAAAGAATGAATATCAAAGATGATAAAGAGAAAGGTATAATGTAATTGAGTAAGCTATTTGAATTGATTTTCAAATTCATAAAAATGAAATGTAAATTTTACAATGTTCATGATGATGTGCTAATTATCTTTTTCAACAAGTTTATACAGATAAATCAAGAGAAATATAAATAGTGAATGACACAATACATGAAGAATTTTGAATCGAAATACAGTAATGAAATAGAAATCATCAACAATATTTCATTTTATGTTTACAAACATTTCAAATACTTTTGAAAATAAAGTATTATGTTAAATTAGCATAAACATTACAATGATTGAAGTAGAAAGTTTTTATTTGTAAAGTATTTTCAATGTGTTTTATTCTGAAATTTCTTTCACTCTAAATTATTGAATTAACAAGAAAACTGATGAGATGAAATATTTCATTCATCAACTCATACAATTCAATCAAAATAATCAACATAAACATATATTCAATTAAGTTAATATAATAATAAAATAGATACTTTGAATAGAATGAGAAAACAGACAATGAGTGTTATAAAAATAGAAAAAAATAAAACAGTCAAAGAATCTTCATATAACAACAAATAAATAAACGATGATAAACAAAGAACAAAAGTAACAAGGAAGAGAAAAATGATACAAATAACAACGGACAAATGAAGATATAGTAAACAATAAGAAGAATAAATATAAAAGAGTAAAAAAATGGATTTTTCAAAAACTGAATGAAAGATAGAAGAAGAAGAGAATGAAAATCAAGAAATTAGAAGAAAAGAGGCAGAAAACAAGAAACAAAGAATAAAAGAAGAATAAATAATAGAGAAGAAGCGAAATAAGAAGAGAAAAACGAATGAATAAGAAATACAATAGAAGAAGAAAGAGATAAAAAGAAGAGAAATACAAAAGATAGAAGAAAGGAAGATATAGAAAAGAAGCAAATGAAGAAGTGAAAAAAAGATGATGTAAGAAGTCAAATGAAAGATGAATAAACTAATGAAAATAAAGAACATAATAACAAGGAACATAAAAGAAATATATTACAAAAAATATAATGAATAACAAAACATAAAAAACAAACAAATATTTCATAACACAACAAATGGAAATAAACAAAAAGAATAAAAAAGAAACAAGGCAATAGTATAAATAAATTGAACAAGTAATAATGAAAAACAAATGAGAATAATAAGAAAACATGAAAGAAAGAAGAAATAAAATAAAACAAACGAAATAATAACAACACTGTGATAATTATAATAAATACAAAGAAATAAGTAAGAGAAATAAAATGAATAAAGAAAATAATTTTATCAAAACAATGAATTCAATTAGGCATAAAAATTAGCAAAGAAAAAATGCATCTAAATAATTTACAAAAAAGAAAAAAGATGCAAAAAAAATTTGCATCATTAGAATATTCAACTTATTATATTTTGCTCCTAAAAAATAAAAAAGAATAATAAATATAAAATCTGTAAATATTTATGCTTATATTTTATAACAAATTCTATTCATTTTGTATGAAATATTAATGAAATAAATGATTTGATTATTCATATTTATTTTTATTATTTTTATTCTTTTATTATTATCTATATATTATTATATTCTTCTTATTTTATGTTTTTTATGTTTATATTATTTAGATTTTCTTATTGTTATTCTTTTCTATTTAGTTGTAGTTGTTTATTCATCCTATTCATCTTTTATATTATTATCATTTATATCTACTTTCATTTTATATTTATACTGTTTTGTTTTATATTAATATTAAATTTATCTTTTATACTTTTTATTTATTATTATATCATTTATTATCATTTCTCCTTTTATTTATCATTTATTCTTATTATTCTTTTGTTTTATATTCTATCTATGTTATATATTCATATCATTTTCATTTATATTTTATCACTTATTATATATTATAATAACATAACACATGTGATTGATTATATAATAAACATCATAATGAAGTTATACATATAAATAATAAACATAAAAAGGAATAAAATATTTTTCAACAACAAAACAATATTAATTATTTTGCATCATTAGATTAGACACTTTTATTGAATATTTATAATTTTTACAATAAAAATACACAAATTATTTCATCATTCTTTTCTTCTTTTATCACATCTTTTGTTTTATTACTTTTTATATTCTTTATTATACTTTCTTTTTATTCTTTTTATATTATTTGTTTTTCGTTGTTTTTCTATTTTTTTCGTTGTTGTTTCTAATTGTTTCCTCTTTCTCTTTTTATTTAATTATAAAGAAATTGTTGAATAACGAGAAACATAATAAATAATATTAAAACAAATAATCAGAGCAAGATAATTTCATATCAAACAATAAATATAAATGATAGAAGAATGAGTGAAATATTTATTATCTGTATTGACAGAATTATATGAATTATTACCATATTAATTATTATCATAGCAATCACTACATTGATAATATTGTTTATTTCATTCATTTTCATTATCATAAATATTTTAACAACAATTTTAATAGAAATAAACAGTATTATCACAATAGAAATAAATGTCAAAATAAAACACATAGAAGATACAAACAATATCAAACCATAAATATTAAAAAATATAAATAAGTATTAATAACAAAACTTCTAAGAATTTGATTTAATTGATTTTAACAATCCTCATTATTGTATTACTATTAGTAAAATATTTCAAAACTTCAATTAATGATTTAATTATTAATAATTAATCATTTCATGCAATAAAACATATATTACAAAAATATGAAAGAAATAAAGTATTACTAATATTGATATATTTCAATATAAGAATATAGAAATAAAATATATTCATAAAATAAATAGAAATACACAAATAAATACAACATAACATAAAAATAATATCATTATTTACAAACAATACAATATTAATGATAAATTGATACACAAAGAAACAGTAATAAGAATAAAGAAACTAAAATTACAATTAGACTTTTCCAATATCATACAACCAATAATCATCAAAAATATGAAATACTTAATGTTTTACACAAATAATTCTGATAATATAACAGAAGAAGAAACAAATAATTCACTCAACATATAAATAAATACAAATTAGAAGTAGAGAATATTAAAGAAAATGAAATAATTGCTGATAAATATTCATAAAACCAAAAGAAAGAAATAATATATTAAATGATTTTTTCTTATGAATTAATTTTTTTATTACTTAAAAAATAAAAGTCATTTATTTAGAAACTAATTTTATTCATTAAATCTTAATTTTTTTTATTCAATAGAAATGCCTTTTACTAACCAACTAGCAGAAGCACTAAGAGGTCTTACTGGTAAAACTATTTATGCAGCATCAAATGGAGAATATTGTGAAGAATATCAATTAGAAGATTATTCATTGTTATTAATCCAACAAGGTTCATTAAGAGAAATTCAAAATGTAGGACCAGTAACTGTTAAAGTTCAACTCTTGACAGGGGATATTGCTGACATTCATTGTAATGCTAATGAATTAGTAGACATTTTTAAAATGAAGATTCAATTAGTTACTGGGAATGGAGATATTTCAAAAGGAATTCCAATTGAAAGACAACGTCTCAGTTTTAATAAACAAATTCTTGATAGAAAAAGAACTATTGATAGTTATGGAATTACTGAAGGAAGTTTAGTTCATATTATTCTTCGTTTAAGAAGTTCTATACCTAAAAAGTTCATTTTACATACGTTAATTGATCCTCAGTTTGACTATGATTTTAGAGGAATAAATGATGCTGGAAAATCTATTTATAGAGGACAATTACCATATATCCGACCAGTTGGTTGTATGAGATGTGCCCTTCATGTTCTTGGAATGTTCGATAATGGGAATGACATTTGGCTTGGTTGTTCAAACAGGGATGAAGAGTGGCCAGTTTCATTCCATGGTTCTAATTGTTCTAAATTTACTGAGATTGTTCAATGGGGAGATAAATTAGGTGTTTCAGGTGTTGGTGGAATGGCAGTATTTTGTACTCCTGATTTTAGAATTGCACTACAACATTCAGATGTTGTTACTGATCCTCAAACAGGAAGAAAATATAAAGTTATCTTCCAGAATAGAGTTAGACGTTCTTCTATTATTCGGGCATCAAATGTTGGTGGTCCTGATAATTTCTGGTACATAACAAATCCAAGTGATGTAAGGGCTTATTCTATATGTCTTTTTAGTCAGTAATTGGATTATCGGAATTATTTTTAAATCAATCTTTTTAAATAAAGTAATAAATGATAAAATATATTCAATGAAGGAATAAATAACTTTTTATATAAGTTTTCTTTTGACAAGAAACATAAATTAAGATTAACAAGAGTATTTTGTTAGATATTGTGGTTTAAAGATAAGACATAGTCTTATATTACACTTTAATGAAAATAACTTTAAAAATTTAAGAAATAACTATACTTTCTTCTTAATATTCTATCATTTAATGTTATGACATACAAAAGCTACCATCAATAAGTAAATAACAAATATTCATTTTCTTTTTATTAAAGCTTTTTAGTAGTAACATTAACTATACATTAATAGAATTGATAATATATGAATTAACGTTACTACCTTTGGTGTAAGATATATAATTAATGTGTATTCTTTTTTTGTATTCAATTGCATTTTTATATACAAAGAAATAAGAGACAAAGAATAAAGTCTAAATACATTTCAAAATTACTATTCTCTCGACGTTGAAAGATGAGATGAAACTTGATTGTTTTGGAAAACTTATTCCAGAGAAGTCTGAGAGTATCTCTGGGTAGATAGTACTTGTACCATTTGGGGTTGCTTGAATCCAACAGTCATAACAGCCAAACCATCGGGTTGAATGTTTTGAATAAACCAAAATTGCATCTTCTGGACAAGTTGATTGTTTTGATCTATACCAGTGTTGAATTTCATCTTCAGTGATTTTCATTAAAAGAAAGAAGGGTC